AAATTAAGTGAATTTACCAAGTGTCTTAGAAAATGAAGTGGATGCCTCCACGTGACCTAGCAACCAGCGGTAACAATCGCAAAGAGCCTAAAATGTGTATTTAAGTGGCCCCTTCACGCACCCCCCCCCCCGAAAAACGCGGACTCCAGTTTGAGAAGCACTGCTTTAGTAAGATCAGATACACTTTTTGTTGTCGGAATAACTAAACATGACAATGCGGAGTTTATGAGATTCAAAGTTATTGAATAATATTTATTAATTTATTACGTAAAAATAATTTAACTGGGCTTCACAACCTTGGAGTTTTGACGCGCATTTACCATCTAAGAACAGGAAACTTGGATTCTCAAATCCCTAGTGTACAGTGAAGTTTGTGACTATTGTGAGTGTTTAGGCTAAAAATAGCGATGTTCGTGGCGAATGCGCTAAGTACCCTTACAGATCGTTTTCTAAATTAAAAATAACAAAACTGGATATAGCGCAAATTCTGCCAAAAGGCTAAAACAAAAAAGCGCAAAGGTTTTTATGGGACTAAATCGTGATTTCCCCTGCCAATAGCACATGCCATGCCTAGCTGGAGCCGAATTGCGACATGCACGGATTTAATGTGTGCCCCACTGTACTGCATATACGTAGGTCGTGGTCACACGGGGAGTGACTTAGATTTTTGCGTTGCTAGTCAGACTGGCTACTGCATCATGTGTTTCTTAAATCGGGTGGAAATGGTCGTGTTGTCTGAAAAGTATTAGGTACACTTACAAGAGTGAGTGTTGTGAATGGAGAGTTTGAATCGTACTCCACGTAGAGTGAAAGGATCATGCAGTAATAGTTTATTTTATATGTGGATGCTCATGGTAATCATAACCGACTTGTCAGCTAACTGCACTTGCACCTGTTGCTGTCATTTTGAATCGATCTCATGCATAATGTTAAGCAAAATAAAATATAACTTGGTTTCATAATTGTTCCGTGTTTATTATGAAACTGTTAGTTTTCTCATTTCTTCTTCTTTTTTTCACTGTGGATGCAGTTCTAGTACAGTTCATGATCATCGTTCTGGCTAAACGTGTAAACAGCACCATCCCTGCAAAATACAATTTGGGCCCCAATGGTTTGTGCTATACGGGTAATAAGGGGAGAGAATGCAATCGGGTTAGCAAAACAGGTTTTCTGTTCTTTTGTTCGCTGACGAAGGCTTCCTGCCGACACGTTCGTTGTTTAGTTGCGTTCCTTTCTTCAGGTTTAACTCTACCTTGTTTGAGCTATACTATACACAGGTTTCACTGATTTGAACAATGTTCACAAAAGGCACTTTATTATGAAGTTTCTTCTGAGAGTATCATACTATCCCATAACACAATCAGACATACATAGTAATATTGATAAAAACTCAAAACGCAACACTTTATGACATATTAAGCTTTTCTTTTTTTGTAATCTAAATTTTTACTATCATAATTCATTATAATGTAATGTACACAATTCATTATACGGTATTTCCGTGCTCGCATGGAGTACAAAATCGCAACTTTGTGCTACCGCTGCTTACATGATCTGGCGCCGTCCTATCTGAAAGAGCTGCTGACGCCTTATGTACCCTCTAGAGAGCTCCGCTCATCCGATAGTGGCAAACTCTCGACACCACGTATATATATGTACCGTATAAATTATGGTACCGGTAGATCTCAAATTATATTCAACAGTAGTAATAATGAAGGAAGTAAACGAAAGTTGGAAGCACATCCCTCTCTGTAAAACGGTACCGGTATTTAGCTGATGCAATATGACTGACCCTAATACTTTTTCTATCACAATTATTTATGTCTTACATCAGTGCTATCCAAGGAGTTATGCACTCACAAATGTAAAGCTGTCCAATGGTCCTAAAGACATTGCATAATAAATTTTTAAAAAATTAAAAAAAACACTTAACTTTTAAGAGCATTTGCTATAGTCTGAGGGGGTATGCTAATCAATGCTATATTTTTAAAAATAATGTGGTGTGCAATACCGGTACAAAATAATTTGGTGACCCCTGTTTGTACATAAGCCCAAGAAAAATTTGAAAATGTCACAAGCCCATTATTCTATTTAGATTTTTAAAAAAGTAATTATGTATCATTATGAAGTGCCGGGTGCATCAGTTATCAAGGATTACATTCACCCAACAATTAACTTTTCTTAACACATTATAATTAATTTGATAGCATGCTTATTTTAATATTTTCTGGATTTGCTTAGAAACATAATAATGCTACCGGTACTCAATTGTTTTATTTTCAATCCAAATATCAAAATAAGCCTCCTTAAACTTTCATTTTTAAATTAAATATATCAACAATATAAAACAGGTTCACACAGGTTTAGAAAAAAATGAAGTCACATATTTAAAAAAATACCCGGTACTGAAATGCAGTCAAAGTCTCTCCCTGCTAGACAGTGACGAGGCCATGACAGGCAGTTCCGGCTCATAACAGCAAGAATACAGTACAGAGACTGCTCATTCCTGCCAAAGACAATAGGGACTGGAACAATTCCAAAAGGAACAGTTGAGGCGAATAAACTTAACACATTTGTGTCTTTTGCCTCAGGCCTTCCAACCCCCAGTTCCTGATACCCTTGCTGAGTAGCCCTTGCAATCAGTGAAATATCTTCTTTAATACCAGCCAAAGAAACATTGCGAATCCCTTCTACCTTCCTAGGAGCCAGCATCATCAATACATTGTTTGTGGGCCCTTAAGATATAGAAGAAGAAGAAATCAGCAGCATAGTCAAAAATAAATCATACTGGGAAGCTTTACAATATTAAAAATTGAAACACTTCCTTGTTTAAATAGACAGAAATTGACAATTTGTTAAATCAGCAAATTTTTTATTTAAAAATGAACTTGGATTTGTTTTAGGAATTATTACCTGGAAACATTTTTAAAAAATATATGAGTATGAGAGGGGCTCTAGCGAGAAATTGACCCTGGTCACAGTTTCCCAACTATAGAACTTACTTCCACTTCCACTTAAAATATTTTAAAAATTTATTTTAAAAAAAAAAAAAAAAATTCAAACAAGAATTATCATACCGTTAGCATGATAAAATTTAGAATTAAAACAATTAAAATCATAGTCAATTTAAAAAAAATTCA